TCCTGACATCACTGTCACATTATTGCACCAGGCCTGGCATACCAATAGGCTGCTGCTCACATGTGAGACAATGCAAGAAATTTTGGAGGAGAAATGATTGGGTTATAGCCTTAGCTTAATCAGGTATTAACTGAAGTGTTAGGGTGTGGCTGGAGGGAGTGGGAATTGGGGCGTAGCTTTGTGTATATATTTGTATCTGCAGAGTAGAGTTTCTCTCTCTGCTTCCTGATGTGAGCTGCCTCCCTCTGTCACACTCTCCTGCCATGATGTTCAGCCTCACCTCGAGCCCCAAGGATTGGAACCAGCCTTCTATGGACTAAGGCCTCTGAAGCCATGAGCCCTCAAATAAACTCTTCCTCCTGACAGTTGTTCTGGTCAGATCCTTTAGTCACAGGAGGGAAAAAGCTGACTAAAACAGCCTCTTTTGTTGAATGGATGATCCTTTACCTCCTTACTAACCAAGAGTAAACACAAATGCACTGTCTTCCTCTTACCTGGACCCTGGGGCTTTAGATTTCCAACCTTTACTTTGGACCATTTCCCTCAATGTCTGGCACTTGACCGTCCCATGCTTGGGCCCTATGGACCACAACAACCCTGGTGTGGCCCATCCTCCTTTTTTTTTTTCCTTTTTGTCTTTGCTTCTTCACTTTTTATATTTCTTCTAAACAGCCATTATATTAAGATTTGCTTTGACTCTAAAGAAGCAAAGATTGATTAAGGAAGAGAGAATGTGTGACTTGAAAGAACTCATAATCCCATTAAACTAACTTAGAATATAGTATGATAAATGTTTTCTAGATACACACACAGTGAAGTGTTTGATTCTTTTGGGAGAATTCAGGGAAAATCATAGGGAAGATGACACCTAATAAAAAATTTTAAAACAATGGATTATTTTGCCAAAATGCTGTGCTCTTGGCTACTGTTTTCACACATTACTTCTTGGTAACATGAAGAAGATATTTTATAAGATTAGATTAGCATTCAGAAATTTTACTTAAGCAGTTGTGGGTGGCTTGGGGGAGAGATAAGAAAATATATCCATGGAGTTTTTAAAATTTTTAAATTTCAATTTAAGCCTTCAGCTATTTTTCAAAGTTCATTATATTTAAAATTTTCCTTTCATTTAGTAAAATTATTTAATGACATATTAAAGGTCACCACAAAGGTAATAACAAGAATAATTCTGGCTGCTTTTGAATAATTTTCTACTTTTTACTGCTGAACTTAAAAAGTAAAAGTAAAAAAGGTTAATTGATTACTAAAGTATATATTTATTTTTATTACTAGTATAATTTCTTATAATTATCATATAGGTCCTTATTATAAAATTACAAATATGGGAATTACCTATAAATCACCATTATTGCCATTATTTGGGTAAAAGTTTTCTATTATCCTATTTATGAAAATATCTCTATAATTACCTGATGATGAAACCAGATTTCTACTCTTAGAGATGAGGCTTTAGATTTAATACAAAGTCCCCTTCCAAAAAATACTGTAAAGCAGGTATTGGAAAGAGATAACCATTATCAGACAATAGCACCTTAAAAGGAATTAGTTTATCAAATGTGTTTTACCTGATAATTTCAAGTAGGCTACTGAGAAAATGGGATTCTTAACAGAGTTGAGGAAATACTAACAAAGAGATGAGAACTGGCTGAAGTTAGATTTTTATTGGCAGACACTGGAAAGCCAAGGGTAAATATATGGAAATAGGGGCCCAGTATAAGAGTCAACAAAGAAAATCAAAGATATAATCATAATCTTCCTTTTTCCAATTCCAGACTTTCCTTCTCAGGACACACCTCAAAGTGAAAATTATTACCCTTATTAAAACAATTAAGGGACATGAGCTGTTCCAGTACCAGCACTGGAAATAAGCACTGTGCAGCTCATAAAAACATTATTGTCAACTGTCTGTGGGCTCTAAATAAGAACTACTAAGGCTTCTAGATTGTAAACAGAAGAAGATAGATTGCAGAGAGAAGTGAAAACTTGGAAAAGAATCTATGGGAAAAGCCCCTATTTTTTTCTTTCTCATACTTTGCCCCTAAGGGTAGATCCCAGTCACAGATGGCTTGCAAGAGGCAGCAGACAAACTTCCATGGGAATTCCATATTTCTGACCAAAGAAATAAGGAAAAGTAGATTCTGCAGACTGGAGAGTATAAGGGAATCAAGAGCTAGAAAAAGGGATCCCCTAATCTGCATAAATCTCAGTCTTGCTTCTCATCTAAGCATGAGTGGGACACCCAAAACAGGGTTGTAAAGGCTTGTGAGGAGTAAATTGAGATTTGAACCACTGCTCTTATCTCAGAATAACACCCAAGTTACTCATGTGGAACAAACTCTAACTAGCATTGAAAATATTTTGAGAACTGAACTGAGATTTAATCCCCAAAGATAAGACAGAACACTTGATGTTGACCCAGTCAAGCTGGTTGCCTCATAAATACCAACCTTCTCCAGAGGATTATAACCAGACCCAGAGCCCATGCGATACATATACATTGACCAGAATAAAATTCAAATTTATTCAACATGCCAAGACCTGGGGAAACTTGGCCAATTCTTGAATTACGATACAGTAAATAGATGCCATTTCCAAGATGATGTAAGTGTTGGATTATCAGGCAAAGAGTTTAAGGTAGTTTTTATAGCCATGCTCTGAGAATTAAAGAATAATGCCCTTAAGTGAATGAAAGGATAAGAGTTCTTAGAAGAATCAACATTATAAAAAATAGCCAAATAGAAATTTTGAATTGGAAAAAAAAACTAATGTCTAAAATTTAAAAATTACTGGATGAACTCAATAGGAAATTGGAAATGACAGAGCAAAAAAATCTTCAGTAAAGAGAGAAAAATATTTTTAAAAATTTGCAGAGCCTCAGAGGCCTGTAGAACATTATCAAAAGTCCACATACATAATGTTAGAATCCCCAAAAGGAGAAGAGAAAAATAGTTGGATAGAATATTTGAAAAAAAAATAGTGAAAATTTGTGGTTTTTTAAAAATTTGTGATTTTGATAAAGGATATAAATTAACAAATCTGGGAAGCCCAGTATGTTCTCATAGAAGACAATTCTCTATAGCATTTCTACATACTTTATCTCAGCTTTGATTTCAGATTATCTCTTCAAGGATGTTTGTATTACAAATAACCTTGGATGATAGAGTATCTTCCTCTAAAGCAGGGGATAGATTTGTTTCATGGCCATTATAAAAAAATCATAATTTCTACTTGGGAACAAAAGTTGGGCAGGTTTATTATTAGTCCCCCTTTAAAATACTGGACTGTGTTTCAAATCTACAATAAGTACAACATCCTTCTGGGCTGCTCTATTGAACCATGGGACTTAGGAGGATGGTAAGCCAAAGTGAATATGAATCTTGATGACTGCAGTGCCATGAATAGTGAAGTTCTGTTGCTCACTCAAGGTCATCTGTTTACCAACATCTATGAAATGGTATGTAGCAGGCTAACCTGTTAGCTTGAAAGTAGGGTAAAATCTCAGACCCTTCAGAGTTCTTGCCCCAAAACAACTTAACCCCAAATAAGAATATTATAAAAATATAATAATAGTGATAAAAATAATTATTAATATCATTATTATTATTCCTGGACTCATCATAACCTGAATTATGAATACCAAACAAAGAAAAAAAAATTGAATGTAGTTAGAATAAAAACCATGATATACAATGAATCAATGATTTGAATTACCATGGATTTCTCTTCAGAAACAATGGTGGCCAGACAATGGAACAATATCATTTTTTTTCCATTTTAAAGTTCACAGATGACCTACTTTTTGTTTCAAAGTAAATCTGCTTAATTTATTTGTGATTAAATGCAAACTGGAACTTAATGTGTAAAATTCCGCCTTCTCTTTTTTTTCCAGTTTTTTATTTGTTCTAATTAGTTATACATGAAAGTAGAATGCACTTTGATACATCTTATGTAAATGGAGTATAATTTCTCACTCTTCTGGTTGTACATAATGTAGAATCACACTCTTTGTGTAGTCATATATGTACATAAGGTAATAATGTCTGATTCACTCTACTATCCTTTCTACCTCCATACCCCCTACCCTCACTTTACTGCAAAATAAAAGCTTTGAGGCTGGAATTCTATATCCAACAAGAGTGTCCTTCAAAAATGATGTAAATCATGTACAACCAGATGAATGAGAAGTTATACTCCATTTATGTATATGTCAAAATGCATTCTACTGTCATGTATAACTAATTAGAACAAATAAAAATATATTTAAAAAATTAAAAATATAAAAATGATGTAGAAATGATTACATTTCATATGTAGAAATTTGAATAAAATCCATCAATAACAGCTGTGACCTATAAGAAATAATAGATACTTCAAACTGAAAGGGAAAATAATAATACAGGAAAACTTGACTTTTAAAAAATAAAGGAAGAACAAGAGAAATGACAAATATATGACTAAATAAAAAATATTACCTTCTCCTAAAAGCAAAAACTATAGTACTCTTTGGTGGAATTTTTAAAAATATATGTACATGTTATACATATGATATCTATGTAATATAAAGAACAAGTGGGTTAAAAAAGAGCTATGTAGATATAAGTTTTTTACATGAAAGTTTGCTTTCTCCTTTCTAAAACTCTCGCCCCGAATAACCCAATATCACTGCTTCCAGAAAAGGGGAAAAGTGCAATAGATCATTTGGGTACATTAATTATACAATATAAAACTTAGCTCTTTTTATTGGACATGAAGTGTAGAAGAGTATGAAAGATTAGGAATGTATATTATAATTCTAAAACAATCACTGCAATATAGTACAAAAATATACAAATGGTTAATGTTCAAATAACCCAAAAGATAGCAGGAAAGGTGGGGTGTAGATAATTGAAGTTTTTTACTGAGGTGACAGAGAGCAAAAAATAAAAGACATAAATCCAACCATTTCGATAAATTGTATTAAAATTGAATGGGCTACCTACCTCCAAAGCTTAAAAGAAGAGAGAACACTCCCCAGCTCATTCAATGAGACTGATACTAAAACCAGACAGGACATGGACATGAGACTTAAGAGTCCTAGAAAACAAACTAAACTTCAGTTTTTTATTTGACTAGAAATGAAAGATTTTATGAATAAAATTATTTTCTTATAACCATACACATCTATATTATAAAATAATAATAGGAAGATTTTTCCCTAAAGGATAGGCATTTTTTTTATTTAGAGAATACTTTATTAGTTTCTGTAATCAAACCCACGTAGATAAGACCTTACATATTTAATACAGTGCGTTACCCCTGTACAAATGGAAAAAAATTAAGTTTAACATTTCTAGACCAATATGGCTGTTAATTTCTGTACAATGCCAACTCAACACGGTAAACTGGGATACTTTTCCAAAGTTGACAGCACAGCTAAAGTTTCCAAAAATTCAAATTATCTATATATGTGTATATATATATATATATATATATATATATATATATTTATATTTATATAAAAAGACCAATAATAGCAGTATGTTCTGCATCAGCAGCAGCAACAGCGTTTCCAGGTTCTGCAGTCATATGAACAGAATCATAGACACACCCAGCACACTCCATTTAAAAAAGGGGGGAAAGTAAAAAAACAAAAACAAAACAAAACCCGAGAAAACAGCAAAGTTCTGTTACTGTTGTGATACCTGGCACCATTTTTTTTTTTATTAGCTTCTCAATCATCATCTGAAAAGATAGGCATTTTTATATAAAAAAAGATAGGCATTTTTATATAAAAAACGCAGTAAAATCTAACTAGAGAAACTTGAATGAAAATATAAATTTTAGAACAAAAAGAAATAAATTATTGTTAAAGAAGATCTTGCTCATAGTCTTTAACAGGATGAGGTCAAATCACATTGTATTCAGATTCTATTGGACACCTTTTAAAAGTGTTTTTAATGGTTTCTTTAGATAGATCAATATTTATCATATGCCAGATTTATATTCTTTGCAACTATTAAAGTAAGAATAATAATTTAGACAATAGTTTAAAATGCATTATAGAGTTTATAGATTTTGAAATCATTTTGAGGTTGTTCAAATAAAAGGTCTTAGCTGCTGGAAGGGAGAAGACTATGACAGCTAAGTTAAGAAACTTACAGCTCTCTGGTAGAAGGTATGACAGGAGGAGAAAAGAATCTCTCTCTTTTGAATGTGCAAAGATTGTGTAACAGTCAGCAGTGTCCTTACTCTCCCTCTCTGGCATTGTGGAACCTGCTTAGGGGAAGGTCAGACATCTGCGGTGGGTGGAGCTATCTTTCCCCCAGTAAACAATTGTTCTTTTGGGAAATGACCCCTCTCCTCTGCCAGGAGGTTGAGTGGATCCTCCCACTCCTACACGCATATCCCAATCCATGAAGTCTACAGTACCATAAATAATAAAATCCTTTTTCTTTTACCCCAAGGATAACAAATCTTCTACCAGCATCTATGAAACTACATTAAGCTAACCTATTAAATGCAACATATAAAATCTGCAATCCTAGTGCCAAAGAATATTCCAGGGGCAAAAGGTGGAAATTAGTTAAAATGAGAACCTGACAGCTTATATCAAAAGCACACCTCCCTTATACTAAGACATCACAGCTTCTGAGTGACCCTGTTTCCCTGTCCCGGGTCAGAATCACACTCTCTCCAGGCAATCAGGACCTAGAGTGATGACCAGGAGGAGTGCAGCATTTGGAATATAAGGTTAAACCTCCTAAAGGAAAAAATTTGCTTTCCCCTTTCTAAAACCCTCACCCCAAATAACCCAATATCATTGCTTCCAGAAAAGGGGAAAAATGCAATTGATCATTTGGGTATATTATATGAGCTCAAAGTAGTCCCTGAATAATTATATACATTATATAAATTATACAATATGAAACTTAGCTCTTTTTATTGTTGGACCATATGTACATGTAAAGTTTTCCATCATGAAAGAACAAAACACAAAGAATGATAGACAAGGAACATGCTATGCTCTCCAATAGCTAGAGGACCCCCACAGATGTTGTTCCTTCAAACACATCATCCTTCTTGAGCTGGGTAGAGTAAACAAGCACATGACTCATCCAACTTCCTTCTTTCTAGTGTACTTTCCTGAAATCAGAGCACATTTCCTGGCTCCAGACATAATAAGCTGCACCAACATTTCCATAATAAATAAAAACTACAATTGAGAATGAGGCTATATCACGTGGCTACTCTTTCTTAACCTTCCAGGTCATGGCTGTTTCCTGATCATGACAATTTTACCAATCCTAGGAAAGGCAGTATCTCTTGATAACTGAATTTTGGGATATGAGCTCAAAGTAGTCCCTCAAAGCCCAAAATTATTTCTTCTATTTTCCCACTGATTGTATAATCAATCCAAAAACTATCATTAATTCTTTCATTTAAAGTAGCTGGAATGGTTTCTCACTGAAATGCCTCCGTTGGCCTGGCCTACCTGGAACAAGCTGAAAGTCACAAAGTGCCTTCCAGAATTCCACAGGAACTCTCCAGAGGGTTGTTTAACATTAGGCTGCTCTAAAATCTGTATGTTCAACCTCAGCCCTTCTAATCCACAATCCAAGAAGCTCAGCCTTCCCTTCTCAAGAGTTGCAGGAGCCAGTCATGATGATACACACCTGTAATCCCAGAGGCTCAGAGAGGCTGAGGCAGGAGCATCTTGAGTTCAAAGCCAACTCAGAAAGGTCCTAAGCAACTCAGAGAGACCTTGTATCTAAATGAAACATAAAAAGGGGCTGGGAGTGTGGGTCAGTGGTTGAGCCCACCTGGATTCAATCCCTGCTGGTATCAAAAAAAAAAAAAAAGTAGCAGGGGAAATGAGTTTCCTATTTACAACTAGTGCTAACAGAGCCCACTATGTTCCTGTTTTTGCCTAGCTAATTTTGATAAGAATCATCTTTGTTCTATATTGCCTCCCATTTCTATATCTATTTGAGTCACCTCACTATGGAATCCCAGTTAAATGTCTCTTTTCTTCTTAGAAACTGAACCATATGCAAAATTGCCACATTATTTAGTTTATTCATCACATTCCTGTTTCCGTTAGACTAGAGCACTAATATCTCACATCTATCAAGAAAAGAAAAACACAAAACAAATTTTTACATGGCTTATTCCCTTTCTAAATTTCAACAAGGATTCTGTGCTGTGTCACACTTACTGATTTTCTATCTCTAATGCCCTCCCCTTCTGAAAAATTGAAGTCCTCTGTATGCTTTAAATAGTAACTTTATCAACACACACAAGCCAATATGATTCTTTAATTTAGGTTATTTGATGCAATGCACAAGTTTCCCAAGAGGAAATAAAGCACATTTTGCTTCCCTAAAACTCAACTTCCATCCACAAGCAATCAAGGCTAAATAATTTTAAACCTGTGTGCATTTGAAACCATATCCATCAGAAGGTATTAGGCCAGCAATAAGGTCCTTAAGCCATATCTATAATTTTCCCAGATCTCCCTAGTCACCCAGTAGCATCTGGATTTCCTGCCAATCCATTGGTCTTTTCCATGGTATTCTTTCTAGGCAGATGCATCTCCATATATACCTGTCATGTGCTATTGCCTCTTTGTTATATAGCACTAGTATACATAGATACCACAACATAAGTCAACTTCCCATTCTCTGTTTTCTGGCCATCCAGTAACTACTCTCTGTGAGTTCATTGCCGCAATCTTTTCACGTTCTGTGCACCTGTAAATAGCGTGTCCTGCCTTCCTGTGCAATGGGAGAGGACAAGGTTATGGGATTTGAGCAGATCCAGCATCAAATCCAAGTTTGAGATGAGTAGCACTAGGCAACTTATTTAACTGTTTAAGTTCCCTCATCTATAAAATAGGATTCATAATACTTACCTTATTATGTTGTCAGAGCAAACAAATGAGATAATTTATGTTAAACACCTGGCTCAGCACCTGGTGATGTAAAAGGGAAAAGGATGAGTCTTTTGAAATGTAATTCTCCAGATGTGGTTTTATAACTCAGCCTATTGCTCATGACTAATAGAGGATTTGTTTAAAAGCCCTAGAGGCACTTCCCCAGATGCTATATGATTCATTTCTGGAAACAATCTACAACTAATCAAAAACTTTTTAAAAAAATTGTAGGTAATATAGATTCTCTGAAATCTAGTGTCATAACTGGCAGGTAGCAGAGGTACTGCTGGGCCCTGCCCTGCCTCTCCATCCTGGCTTCTCTGTCACTTCATCTGTAAATAGAACATTCCTCCAGCCACATTCCTCCCCAGGTTAATTCAGGACAGAAATTATGTGTTCCTTATCATTTCCTTTGTATTAAAAGATTTTGTTCCCAACTCCAACTCAAATACTCCTAATAATTTTTTTTTTTGCTATACTATTCTTCAAATAAACCTTGTTTGTGCTAAAATCTCAAAGCAAGTGACCTGCCCAAATCACAAAATGAAAATAAACATGCAACCAGAAAATGTCAATTCAATCTGTTTTGGAATTGGGATGTTTCCCTATAATTTGGTTTTGTGACTCAGACTGGGGGTCCAGGACAAGGGGCAGGCAATGCTTTTAACTCACACAGGAAATCTGAAAGTGGCTTGTCTGCTCTTATCAGTCATGAGGATTGGAAGCAAGACATATCATCTTCAGTACTTGGTAAAGCAAAAGTATATGTACAATTGATACAGGATAGAATTTGTCTTATTTTGTCTCTAAACAAAAGAGATTACATTTTCTATTTGGTCAGCTGTAGATCAAATGTTATTAAAGTGCTGGGGTCACATACCAAATTTAATTTGCTTCCACAAGCAGATCCACATAGGAAGAATTGTGCTTTACTACTAAAAACACTGTAATAAGCAAATTTAATCAGCTTGCTTCATTTCAGTACACTTAGTAGGAGTAAATGGTAAATATTTTTAAAACTTGTTCTGTGGAACTAACTGAAATTTTTATGTGACATATACACTGAAGCAAATATTTAAAAATGCAGACTTAACATTGACCCTCATATATTTAAGACAGATTTGCTGAAAACATGGAAAATTAAGAAGAAAGTGTAAAATTTCCATAATCTAACCATCAACATTTTGATGGTTGTTTCTATTCTTTTTTCTGACTACTTTCGAAAATATTCATACTAGCATAATTGCTTAATATCATATCCTGTTTTCTTCCAGTGTATCATTATAACCTGAAAGCTCATTAAATACTTTGTAGATAAAATTGCAATAATTCCATAGTATTATATAGCTGTGTATAATTTAACTTGGCTCATTTAGGACACAGTCAACAGTTTACTTTGTGTACAAATAGTTGTGCTCTCCAACTTATCAAAATGCCTTATTACTCCCTAGTATACAGGTAGAAATGTTAAATTTCTAGGTCAAAATACTTCAGCATTTTACCATTCTTGATATTATAGCATCACAGTTAAAAGCATGAATTTTTAAAATCAGATATATAATGAATGGAATCTTGAATCCACCAGCAGTATGAGGTTTGTGTTCTTGGGCATGTACTTAACCTAAGACTCTACTTCTTCATCTGCAAAGCAAGTTTAATAGTTCACAAAGTGTGCTCCTTCGAGACAAAAGGATATCATTTAGGCATAGGGCATAGTTGTCAAATCTGTTTTGAATCCTGTTTCAGCCAATGATGAGTTGTATGCTCTTGGTTTGATCTATTTGTTTTAGTTTTCTAAAAAGGAAAACAATTATAATACCCACTTTACAGGATTATTGCAAAACAAAAGTGAGGTAATGTGTAGTAAATAAAACAGGGCCTGGCAGACATAAAACACTCAATAAATATTACTACTGTTTTCACTAGAGAGAGGATTTTGCCCAGTCCTTTCAAATGGTAAGTACTTCACTACTATAATAAATAGTTATTATAAATTCCTTTCCAGAAAGAGTATACATATTTCTTTATGGCCAACATTACAATACGCACATGCTTTATCTACTCTGTATAATAACAAACCAAAAATAACAATTTGAGGGATCATATAATTTAACTTGCCAGTGATGCTTAGGATAATAGGATCTTTTGATTTTAGAAAGGACTGAGAGCTCATCTCATCCCATCATTTTACTGTATTTGATCACTTTCCTTAAACAAAGATGAAACAGACTATCTTCTTAAATTCAAGGCCAATAAAGCCTACATTTTTAAAAATCCATTGACCTCTTTCCTCAGGCTTATTCTTCTTACCTTACGAATGGCACTGGCTATAAGTCGAAATGCCACCTACACAGCTCCTGTGGATTTTCAGGCCATTTGGTATCAATCACAGAACAGGCATTCATTGCTTACCTACCAAGTACAGTTTCCTAAGAGGAATAGAATAAAATATCTTTCATGGCTATATGTCAGAGAGTATTTTTGCGGCATTAGCTGGTGCCCTGTACCTGAATATTCTGCTTCTCCCTTCCCACTCCCTGATTCACCCACCCTTCATTTGGCCATGCAAGTAGCCAGAACAGAGTATATCACTGCCTCAGAGAAATGCTCTAAGAGCAGAAAGGAAAATACAAATGGTCCTTTCCTGGCTTCTGCACTTCTAAAACCTAAGCCATCACAGCATGTATCAGATATTTGACATAAAACACAATAAATGAAGACAAGGCTTCCTCGTTTTATGCCCCCCTCCACTACAGAAAAGGTTTTCTACTCCTGAGCAAAGAGGTAGAGTCTGAGGAAAAATAAGAAACTCCCCAGGGAGAAGGACCCATACCTGCTTTTCAGTCTAGTTTGAATGAAAAGGGTTTGTAAGAGCCCAAGGAAGAAAAAAGGAAGAAGAGGACATACCGAGACAGCACAAAGAGGAACAATGAAAATCTGGGGATGATGGATATGTTCATGGTCTTAATTGTAGTGATGGTTTTGTGGGTCTATACATAGCAAAAACTATTAAATTGTACCTTAAACACATGTAGTTTATTGCTTGTTAACAAAAAATCGATAACATGGATCTGAGAGAAAGAGGCAGACACAGAGAGAAACACAGACCAAGAAAGAAGTGCTGTGCACCAAGTTCCAAGTGAATGCCCAAGGAAGGTGTGGACCAACGGCGGCCTGGTGTGTAGGCAGACAGGCTTTTTAGCAGCCTGTGAGCTTTCATTCTCTCTTGGTGGTTGAGAAGTCACAGAATGAGCACTGTATACCCAGGAGTGATGCAGAAGAAGCCAAGAGAGCTGCCTGATTCTCAAGGACCATGGACAAGAGCACTCTATATTTGCAGCCCACCATGTGCACACTCACCAAGCAAATGACCAGGCAAAAGTAGTTTCAGCAGATGTCCGTAGTTTCACCCAGATGACAGCAGAGATCTGTAGCACTCTCCTCACCACCCCATTTCCTAGACTTACTCAGTAAAAACTTTTCTGGAACCCTGACATAACCCTTGAAAAACAGAAGAGAAAGAGAAATGTTTGAATTCACTGACATTTGGTTTCTTCCATCCTAACAGAATAAAGCTTGACACAGAAATTGGATAAATACAGATTAAAAAAAAATATCATTTCTTACTTACCTCAATTATAAATGCTAGGATTTGGTCATGAGATAAATTTCCTACATTCATTGCATCATATTCTAATTTAAAAGTCTATAAATTAGATAAGATCCACAGGGAAAGAGACCATAATTACTTTGTATATCAACTACATAGTTTGATATCTGGCACATAATTGTGCTTGATATGTGCTTGTGGAAAGCATGGATAGATATGGATAAGTGGATGGACAGACGACAAGAACAAACTGAATAACACAGTAGATTGTTGGTACTTATCCAGGGGAGCACATGTTGAGAGCAATATGACAGGTTTCATAATTAACAGAGACTCTGAAGGACCAAAGTCACCATTGATTACTCCATTGGAGAAAAAAAGTTGAGGTGATCCTTGAAGGCTAAGAAGAATTGATTCCATAAAGAGATAGGATGAGTAGAAAGGGTGAGCAGTTAAACAAAGTTACAAACAGGACAAAGTATACTCCAGCTGAAGTAATTTTGGTGTCAATCCAATATACTTTCTTCCTCCCATACACTTTTCTAAACATAGTACCTGGCACAGGATCTGCTGACAATGTGTGATGGATGAGGGAATGGATGGATGAAGAAGAAGACTAATAGGAAAAAAATACTACATCTTTAGAGAATAAAGACAATTGGATCTGAAATCTTGAGATAACCAGTCTCTATGATAAGTTTAGTTTTCATTTAAAACAGGTTTTTAACTATTATTCTAATAGCAGATTGCATGTTTTTGAGACATTTTACAATGTTTAGAATTGTGATTAAGTAGACTTGGATGTTTAAAAAAAAATCCATAGAATCAATGCCATTCAATGGTTTACTTTGCAAACTCTCACTCTGCCCTCTGAAAAAGTTCACATCATGCTTTTGATTCCTTTTCCTCCAATAATTAAATGCTATTTGTGGTTTATCAACCAGTTACATAACGTTACCTCATTTATTTTTCACAGAGGAGACTGCTAAAGTAAACATTGTTATCTCCATTTTTAGATATGTAGAAACTGAGACTTGGGGAACATACCCACTTGCATTCATTCACTACCCAATAAAGGGAGAAATCTACACCTGCACACACGCCTTTCCAGAATTCAATGTTGCCTCGCTATTGTCATCTGAGGTCTTTAAAGAATGAGGAAAGATACAGGCACTGCTGGACTGTGAAAGAGCCCAGACATAAAGAGTCTCAACATAAATTAACACAATGAAATATTTTGTGTGGTATATCATTAGTTGTTCCATGTAAGTGAAAAAAAATATCTTTCCAGTTTATGAGGAAGGGATAGGGTATTCTTTGTTCAGCTATTTCATATTCATTGTGTATCTTTGGAAGAACTTCTATATGATCTCCCACAAAGTCTCCCTCCTTTTTAAAGTTCTTTCCCGGGAGCTAGAGTGCTAGAGAGAATTTTTTATGGAAAAAATAATTAAGCTTTTTCACAGAACAAATTCCCCAAAGTAATTTATCATAAAGAAAAACTCTAGCCCAACCTTTTTCCTACCCGAAACTACTAATTTAATTTTACAGCAGAACAGCTTTAGGAATCCCAAGAGCTGGATCAGGGCAGGGGGCTTCTACTTGGTCCTCTTGCACTTACTACTCACATGGGTTTGTTTCATGCTTAGAATTGTTTTTCACTTTGCCAAGTGTGGTTCTGAATGTTTCAAATAGGAAAGGTTAGGCCACTTAGAATGGGAGTCTGTTTCACTGACTGGTTTTATTCCTCTTTGTCTTGGTTAGTGAAAAGTTAGGGTAAATTTTCAGGATAAGATTAGATGTTAGGTGTTATAAGATGGCCCAAAATGACTGTGATTTAAAACTTTTTAAATGCAACTGTTTATAAACTGCAAATGCTTCTCCCTATCTTTTCCCCTTTTTCCACTGACATGGTAAACATGTGCACCCAAAATGGTTGACAGATGAAAATATAAATTTGAGATATTGTATTGACATTGTTCAAAAACACTTTTTTTAAAAAAAATGGTTGATATATAGTGTCATGCATTTTGATGCACAAAATCAGAACTGCATATTCTCAAAGATATGTAATCTGAAAGGTTTATTTATTCATCTGGTACCTACTTGTTAAAGGAGACCACAATTAAACATTGGACCACATCCCAGATAGACCAGACTCGCAACTGCTATGTTCCCACAGCAACCTCCTGATGCAGAGATTTTGACATTTCTATTTTGATGCAGTCATTTTAATATAGCTTCATTGACATAATCCATCAAAATCTAAAATCTGTTTCATATTGCCAAGTCATTCAAGTGACCCCCCTCCGATTCTCATTCTATCCTTAACCCTGTCTCCAATTATAGGGTATTTTCACTTTCTAATTGCCATGTGTTCATTGTTCATTTTTGTAGAACTCAGATTTGTTTTATCCTTAGAGAAAAACCACAAAATTGCTTTAATTTTAATCTTTGAGTAGCAGGTTAGCCCCTAAGATTCTGTAGTTTATCCCTTCTAAAAATAATAATAAAGGTGTTTTATTATGCTAACCTGATAAATGTAGTTTACTAAATTCTGAGAGGACTTTTAGGGAGTTAATTGAGAGTTAACTGAAGTCCTGGGAACTTTGGAACTGAGAATAAGAGAATATATTTTGGAAAACAGTCAGAAAAGGTGTTCATGCTAGATGTAATTGGAAAACAGAGAATGATTATTAAGCGAATCAATTTATTAATTGCCAGTAAAAGAATATATCCATTGAAACTTAATATTATATGCAGACTATTCAAGAGTCATGTGAATTCTCATAGATTAAATGGCTACTTACTTCCTTGCTAAGCATGCTAGATGGCCATCTCTGAAATGTGTGTAAATTTGACAGACACAGGATGCCTGTTTGATGTGATTTCCCTATGTAACAGGTTTGGATTTCAGTCACAAAATACAGGTGAACAAAAGCTGTCAACTTTTTTGCATCTCTGTAAATAAAGTTTGTGTAATTTATAATCCCCATTTTTGTTAAAGCTTACCCTGTTGTGGTGCCTCCATCATGTCTAATCTTCTGTTGCCCTCTATCATGTTGAAAAACCAGCCTCTACCTCAGAGCAAAGCCTGTACAAGGAAGGGATATGACCTTTGTCCTCGGAAAACCCACAGAGCACTCCTAGGCACATTCCCACCCTGCTAAGTTGTTTATCTACAAATAACAGAAGAGATCTGTGGAGCCAGGTGTCCCTGACTCAGTCAGGCTAGGTGGGGATCCATAGCAACCCCCTAGCAGCCACTAATCAGCATGAGACAGGGAAATACCTGGGATGCCAGATGACCCTCCCAGTAGTTTATGGTGGTTGATAACGTGTTGGGAAACCATGTAGTTCAGCATGAACACCCCTCTTGGCTTAAACCAATCAGTTCAAATGAATACCCCTTTTGTACTGACCAATCACCCTTACCCAACTTGTTCCCGCCAGTGAATGTGCTAATCATGTTTTAGAGTTGTTATTTGATTTTCCCGCGGTGTGTGATGATTTGCTAAGAGATGCTATGATGTATGTGAAGTCCCTGCCTTCTCCAAAGAATGTATAAAACTGCTGCAAACCCTGGGCTCAGGGCCTCTCAGCGTCACCAGTTGCTGTGTGTGCACGCGGAGGACCGAGCTAGCTTGCAATAAACACCTCTTTGCTGTTTACATCGATCTTGGTCTCTGGTGGTCTTTTGGGGGTCCCGAATTCAAGCATAACAATGTCTATAATTTCTATCTTCATCTCAATAACAAGGCCCCTTTTGGTCCCCTAGACCTGATAGTCCCATCTGTACTCACCTCTGTGCTGTTGACAGAGGAGGTTGCTCACCACATACCTGTGAGGCTGTGTAGACCCTTCCACATGTGAACCTGCATTATAAAGGTACAAAAATTAAGAAAAAGAGAACATGAGTTTAGAAAGCCAGATGGTAAAAAGAAAGGCAAGAATTTAGAGATTACTTGAGTCAATTGAAAGGCAGAGAGACTAAAGCAACATCCAGACCTTGTAGCAGAAGCCTCCAAAGCCTCCTATAGTGCCTGAATTTCTGCTTTTACTGAGGCTGGTAGGTTTGATGTCCCGCTACCACTTTTTCCTTACAACTTCACTCAGAACTATTATCAGTGGGGATAACTCAGATCTGCATTTTTGCAACCATAAAAACAAAAATAAGGGAAAAACTAAACAAATATCGGACTTTACCGTGAAAGAAGTTTCTGTTAAACAGCAATCTGTTTTTTCACATAATCTTGCCAAACTACCCTCCTAGAAAATCTGCAGGTACCAGAAGACAAAAATGAATATATATGGGTCATCCACAATGTATGGATAAATGTCATATAGTTTTCCTAACTAAGAAAACTCCTTTTATCCAATTTAGATCAAATACTTCTAATGGGGTGTATTTTTAAAACCAGTTTGCCATTATTCAGCTTCACTAAAGCCATCAATTGTGTTTGATAACTTTGTGGTTGGGCAAATGTGTATACACACACATATGTACAAAATATTTAAAAATATCATATACATATATAATATTTATTATTCTCAATCCACCTTAATCCTAGTTTTTGGAAACACACACAAATATTAAATCCTAAAGTTATTCTAAAATCCATAAATGAAATACAAACTTGAAATCTTAGGCAAAATTACAATGCATGCTTGAACATGCTGGGAAAACAATCAGAAAAACATATACAAAGTTAATCCCTATTTATAATAACAAGCAAAGACAATGAAGGTTTCAATATAATATTGCCCATATCATTAATAACCTGGGTTTTATGTTATTAGAAATATTAAAATGATATAAGACTGCTTAGGAGAAATTCAGTGTTTCTATTAGCTTCTATGCATTTTTAAGGTGCCATGTTACATATTATGTTCACATACATGTGTTATATTTTCTTTCTCTTAGTGAATTTCCAGTTAAAAGATTATAGAGAGAATCCATACTTTAGATACTATAAATTTATTATGTAACTTTATCAGCATTTCAATATCATTTCTGTATTTCATTCACATATTTAAAAATAACCTACATTTCATACTTTTATCAGATTTTGCATTTATACCAAATGGAGAATTAATGCTTACTGGATATTAACTATGAGGCCCTATACAAATGTCATCATCATTATTACTGAAATGTAAATTTTTATCATATATTTTCATCCACAACAATATAAAGAATAAAATTCTTTAGATATTTACAAACATCTTAATGACATTTAAACTAAGAAATAACCAAAACACTGGGAAAAAGATAAATACATGTCAGGTGAGAAAATAATTAGAATTCTAGTATCGTCCTCATTACTTGAAAGTCTGATTTAAGCATCTCTATACCTGACATTCTAATTTAGCTACAATGCAACAAAACCAGCATTGTGGTAATAGAATATTGATTGTACAGTGTTCAAAGACAAAGAACTTATGTTGGTGTACTTTTTATACATGCATGATATTGCAGCACAATACCATGTCAATAATTTTCACAAAATGAACCCCACTACCACTGTGCTCAAAGGCAATTTAATTATGAAGTAGTCAATCCTTTGATGAAACACATTATCTCACATTAACCTAAAATATAAGTAATCTTGCTAATCTTAGAAGTCTTTAATGTAACAGCACAGTGAAAATACACTTAAATAGTTCACTGAAGCATATTATTTCCTAATTTTTATTATTGAGATTTTTATTCTCATTATGAACATTTGAGAGAACTTTCTCAAAAAGATTCCAATCCCACAGAAATCAAGTATTCATATATTCTACATTCCAGCACAAAAATTAAAAATAGCTTTATCAGGGTGCCAAAACATGATTTTAAAAAGAATCCTTCCTATGAAATATACTTTTACATGTATAGTTTCATGCCCTTTTTAGAAAGAGCTTACTTTTGAAGAAAATAATGAAGAGATGTTGCTTTATTTACTTGGAAATGAAAACACAAGATCTAATGAGAATTGTAAATAGAAACCAGAAGGTAATCTTGGCACTAAGATCAATGAGTATTTATTAAAACATTGTTTTGAGAGAATTAAGCCATGAGGAATGTGGAACAGGAAATAGTGTCTTTACAAATTGAAGAGTTGAAAAAGTCATTAAAATTTATAAACCAACTGCCACCCAATATGAGTCTCCTTTCCAGCATCCCTGACAGATGTTCACTCAACATCTGCTTGAATATCATTGGGACAGCTATTTTGTGAAAGTGTCATTTCCCATATTGAGACAAAACCTACTTTTTGGTCTTAGTATAGTCCCACATGTCCAATAAGAGTCCCAAAGGATATAACTTGTTTATTTAGCAAAACAAACTATAATGTTCTTCAATGTATTTATTCCTTGACCCTGTAGTTCTAATCTCAGGATTTTACCCTAAGGAACCAAAGTTATCTATTAAATAGGAATGTGTTTGATTTGTTACTTTAAAAGGCAAACATTAGATTTCACTTAAATTTTGAACAATACATTGTACATTTGAAAATTGCTAAGAAAGTAGATTTTAAGTGTCCTTACCACAAAATGTAAGTAAAAAGTTAAAATTCAAGCTGAAAATTTGCAAACAAGCTAATACTCAAGAATGGAAGTGTATTAAAGTAAATTATGATGATTTCACATGACATACAATGAAATGCAATCACAAATTATTCTGTAGATAAGTATATTCACATTTAGGTTTTAATTGAATGCCTATGAAGTACTTACTAGAACTTTGTGACACAGAAAAAAAATGTTAATATCTTTTGTTCCTCATTTTTTATTGGTACATTATAGTTGTACACGTTGATGGGGTTTGTTGTTACATATTTGTACTTGCACAAACATAAGGACATAATTTGGTCAATGTCACTCTCCAGCATTTTCCCCTCCTTCACCATCTCCTACTCCTTGGGCCCTTTCCTCTACTAATCTCTCTTTGATTTTCATGTGATTCGCCCTCACATTTCTTCTTCTTTTCTCTCTAGCTTCTTCTACCTGTCCCTTGATATTCTGAGTTTAATTTATTTTGCTTTTAACATAATGGTCTCTAGTTTCATTCATTTTCCTGCAAAATACATGATTTCATTTTTTTTTTTTTGTGGCTGAATAAAATGCCATTGTGTGTGTGTGTCTGTCTGTCTGTCTGTCTGTCTCACATTTTCTTGATCCATTCATCCATCAATGGACACCTAGACTGATTCCATAGTTTGGCTATTGTGAATTGTGCTGCTATAAACATGGTGTTTTATTCAGCTTTTTCACTGTTGTGAATAAATGATCCAACCAGAACAATTTTAAAAGAGGAAACATTTATTTGAGGGCTCATGGTTTCAGAGGTCTTAGGCCATAGAAGGCCTGCTCTATTCCTTGGAGCTCAAGATGAGGCTGAACTTCATGGCTGGGGAGTGTGGCAGAGGAAAGCAGCTCACATGAGATCAGGAAGCAGAGAGAGAGACTCCATTCGCCAGATACAAATATATACCCAAAGTCACGCTCCTAATGCCCACCTCCTCCAGCCACACCCTACCACTTCAGTTACCACTCAGTTAACCCCCATCAGTGGATTAAATCACTGATTGGGTTAAGACTCTTACAACTCAATCATTTCTACTCTGAACCTTCTTGTGGTATCTCACATGTGAGCTTTTGGGGGACACCTCAACATCCAGACCATTACACATGAGTATGCAATATTACTATAGTATTATGACTTAAATTCTTCAGGATAAATACCAAGAATTGGTATAGCTGGGTCATATGCTGTTTCCATGCTTAGTCTTTTGAGGAAACTCCATATGACACAGAAAATTTTTTAAATTAAATCATATGCTTTAAAGTTAGTAGTAAAGAAGCACTTTCAGTGTACCATTTATAAAAGATTTATGCATTGAGTATGCATTCTTTTGGCAAGCAAAAAACTTATTTTAAGTACTTTTATTTTACTAATGTTTGATGAATCGTGCTATATTTCAGGTATCAATGAATGAGGCTTTACATTTCTATGAGGGTAAAAATAATAAACAAGAAATTTTAAAAATTACAAAATATAGTAATTTCTATAAAGGAAATAAGCAGTACAGTCTCAAAGACAATGCAGTCGAGGTACAAGTTGAATATTCCTTATATAAAAGGCTTGGGACTGGAAGTGTTTTGGATTTGGGATTTAAAAAAAAATTTTGTAATGTATATATTATATGTGTATATATATATATATATATATAATGAGACATTTGGGGGTCAGAACTCAATATAAGCATGACACTTATATTTTATATATACCTTTTACAAATAGCATGAGTATAATTTTATACAATATTTTTAACGCATTTGCATTTTGACTGCAACCTGTCCCATGGGATCAGGTATGGAACTTGTGGCATTATGTCAGTACTCAAAAGTTTTCAATTTTGAAGCATTTTGAATTTCAGATTAGGAATACTCAACTGGTATTTATTATATATGGATGTATGGTAGTCAGTGACAGACTTATAGGACAGCGATATTTTAACTGATAAGTATGAGTTTAACAAAGAACCAAAGAAGAATCTTGCATGCAGAAGGAAGAGCAACACAAAGGCTCCAAGTTTGAGAATGAGTTTGTGATCTTTGGATACAGAAAGGTGGCCAGTGTGATTAAAACCTATATAGGGTGAATATATACAGCTGGTCACTGAAAATTTTTTTTCTGTTTTTAACTTTTTTTTGTTTTCCATTTGTATATTTGAAATTCATCAAGAATTTTAAAGAAAGGAAAGGAAAAGGAAGGAAAGGAAGAAAGGAGGGAAAAGGAAAAGAGAGGAAAAACAACTGATGGGCTGCCAAGTTCCAAAGAATGAGGAGTAGATCAGAACAAAGAGTTCAGAGACAGAGAGACCACCAGGGTCTGCTCATTCAGAGACCTTGAGGTCATTTTAAGGAGCTTAATTTTAAGTGCAATCAAAAAAGTTAAAATGCTTAAAGCAGGAGGGTAATGGGATTGGGTTCCACATCTATGCTAGAGGGAAAGACAGGAGTTCCAATACATACATGATGAAGTTGCTTTGAAGTCAGGGAGATAGTCTACATTTCAAGGTCAGAGGTCTAGGTCATATTGGTACATTCCAGAGTTGCAAACATTGAGACAGTATATAAAACATGATGATGAAGGGAATAATTTAGGGACAGTAGAAAGAGAAGAGGAGATAGGTCCGGCACCATTAACCATGAACAGAAGTTTCAGCCCATAGGGACAAGGAGTGAATGAGAGGGAACAAAGTGCAGATGGAATAAGAATTTCTGAAACTGAGATATGGGTAGAAAAGCAGAGTAGTGTGAAGAGGGTGTGCAGTAAGGAGAGTTTGGTTTAAACATTTTTTATTGAGTTATATGACACAGCAGAGTGCATATGACCCAAATGCAAGGCTCCAAGAATCATCACAGAGTAAACATTTGCGTAACACTGGCCAGGTGGAGAACAAGAACACTTCCAATTCCTGAAGACTTGTCATGCCCCTCCCTCCCAGTCACCTTCCCCCTGCCACCAGTCTCCAGACTCAATAGTAGAGTTTTGTTTGATTTCAAATTTTATATAAACAGATTCATAAGAATTTTTATAAGGAAGACAATATTGCATTCTGAACTAAAAGTTTTAAGATGATTGAAGAGAATCAGCATCTTAACAAGAGAAGGGAGGGGTGTGGGATCCAGAGTCTTTATGAAGCAATTGGAGAAGGTACATGTGGTTGAGGGGAACCAGAGGGGAGAAGGGATGGTGGACTCTATAGATCTGGTGGAGATGAGAAAAACATTCCCACAAGCTAGTTTCTGCTTTCTAAAGAAGCATCAAGAAATCCAGTTGAGACTGGGAAGGAGAGAGTATGCAGAGTTTGAAAAGAAAGAACGTACTAGAAAGAATGTACTGACTACCCTCCATAGGGAGACAAAATATTAGGTGTGGAGGGAACCAAATCATGTCTGCTACATGGCTTGTGAAAAACCATAAACATTTGAAAGCAATCAAAAATTTATCACTAGTGGGGCTGGGGTTGTAGTTCAGTAGCTGAGCGCTTGCTTAGCATGCATGAGGCATTGAGTTCCATCCTCAGCACTACATAAAAATAAATAAAATAAAGGTATTGTGTTCATCTATAACTAAAAAAATTTTTTTTTAAAAAAAGGGTACCACTGGGAAAGCAGATCAATATAGTTTAGAACATTTATACAGTGGAATCTCTAGATTTAGAGGGCAAAAAGATGAACAAGACCTATGTGCATCAACACAGGCAGATTCCAAAAATGTAATTTTGAATTGGAGAAAAGATTGTGGGACAATATGCGCACTGTTACTATTTATGAAAAAAATCTTAGAAATCACAGATATCTGCTCAAAACTACACTCTACACTGATTATCAATATATATATGCATTCTTAAGTACAAAGTAACAAGAACAAAAAGGAAATATGTCAAATTCATGAGAGTGGAAACCTCAAGAAAAGAAGAGTAGGTGATAAGAGTGTGAAAGAACAGAAAAAAAAAACTTAAATTATTTCCATAATGTTTCATTTCTTTTAAAAGGCAAAGAAAATATCTATACAAATGATATTTGTATATCAAATGATAAGATATTGTCATTTTCAACTCTTGGATGGTAGATGTGATGATTCTGTCTTTATTTTTAAAAACTTATAGCAATCAAAAAATTTGCACTATAATAAAAATTATAAAAAGTGAAAAACTTTGAGCAAATAGCCTCATTACAACATAAATTAGTACATATATTTGCCAAAAGACACTTTTAAGAATGTTGTTATCCCTTTACATACAATAGCAAAAACTGGGACCAATCCAAGTGTCCATTTACTATAAAATGGATAAATAATTTTGGAATTTTTTTAAAGCTGTAGTGAGTTATAATTTATATAACATTACATTCACCCAATTTAAACTGTGCAATTCAATGATTTTTTAATAAATTTACTGAGTTGTACAACTACTGCTATAGTCTAGTTTTAAGACAGTTTCCTTATCCCAATAGATCATCATATTCCTTCACAAATAATCCCTTTCCTCACATTCAGCCCCAGGCAACACCAATCTATTCTGTATCTATAGATTTTCCTAAATGTGACATTGTCTTAAATAAAGCAAGTTATAGTGTGTTCTTACACTCATCAACAATGATGAATCTCATTGACAAAATGAACTAAAAAAAAGATATATGCTACGTGATTCCATTTATAGAAATTCAAGAACAAGCAAACATCAATCCATGACAACAAACATCAGAATAGAGATACCATTAAGAGAGGTATTAACTTTGAGGGGCAAATAGGGAGATTTCTATATGTTGAGTAGGATGCTGTTTGGGTATATAAATAGATGAAAACTAATGAATCAATTCAGCTAAAATTTTTGTACTGCATGTGAAATGTCTACCAAAGCATGTATTGAAGTTTTGATTCCTAATGCACCAATGTGCAGAGGTGTAGCTTTGGGGAAGTGATTAGATTTTGAGGGCTGTAACCTTATCAGTGGATTAATAATTTGATGGCATTATTGGGAGGCAATGGAAATTGTAGGAGGTGGGGCCTACATAAGGAGTAGGTACTTGGGGGCATATTATTGGGGCCTATATCTTGTCCCTAGTCTATTCTTTCCTCTCTTCTCCTTTCCTCCTCTCTCTCTCCTTCTCTCTCTCTCTCTCTCTCTCTCTCTCTCTCT